CCAAAATGGCATTAAGTTTTTGATGATTTGATCTTGAGTAGTTGCAAGTACAGATGGACTTGGATGTCCTAAGTTTTTCTAGCAGCTTAATCTTGAGAAAAACGATAACTTTCCAGAGTTACAAAACACTCTGGAGGAGGAATTATGCTCCAATTCCACGCTTTGAATATTTAAGGGAGGGGAGATGAAATAAGGATGATGATGAGAACTGTAGAAAAACATAAAAAGATAAAAAGGGGAGAAAGACATGAGAGACAAAGTGGGAGGACGAAGACGTCAAGGTTAGTGAAGTGATTACAGGGTACAAGTGCAGTTTGAGTGAGGGGTTAAAAATTTAAGATTATGTTGGGAAGAAGGGAAGAAAACTAAAAATTTTTTTTTACAATGGTATAAATGTTTTAAATGATTTCATAGTGTTAGAATTAAATTAGAATTAAAAAATCAATGTAGACTCATGACTTTGAAAAGAAATGTCTTCCGACTTTGTCCAAAAAATGGCCTAGTAGTGATACTGTCCTAATCCCAATCAGTTCCCATGCAGAACAATCTGATATTCATCTCAATGCCCAGATTTTGCCACTAATGTATTTCTTTATTTAAAGGAACTACAGTTCTTTGTAAAATAGCTCATTCCATGTTTTGGGTCAGAGAAAGATGTAGAACATCATTCTACAGAAAGATGTAGAATCTGGAACACTTTGTTGTGTATATAAAGCAGGAATGTTCTCAAAAAATGTTTGAGAGAAGTGCTGAAAAGACAATAGAACCATCTTAATAGGCAACCAGCTTGGCCTTTCACTGGCCAAGCTCTCAAGATTTCAGCAAAATAAGGAAAATAATAATAGATAATTAAAACTATGTTAATCTATGAAAGTCCATAATGATTCTCCAAAGGAAAAAGTTTACAATTTAGTAATAGGTAGTTTGGCTATAAAAGAGAGTGAATGTGATAATATAGATATGTTAATTTCTTAAAACTTGAACAAATACAGAGTTATAGATATGGGTTTTTTAAAAAAATCTAAAGCATATATTAGTTTATAAAGCCCAGACATGCCTTTTCTCTAATTGTGAAAGTAGGGATGACTAGAGGGAACTGGGAAATCAGCCAAGCAGTCCTCGAAAAAAAATATTAACTTACGAAGAACAGAAAGAACTGCTCCACATCATTTGTCACACATAACAACCAGGGCGAAAGGAGATCCAACATTTAATCTGCACTGGGGTCACAAAATGACCAAGCAGAAAGAGAATTCAATAGTGTGTTTCAAGATGGTGATTTGCCAGGTGTCCTGAAGAAGACAGCTAATTGTGTAGACTCCATCCCTGTCTCATGAAAGATGAAATCTTTCAATGGTCCTATTAATTATAGCAAATGAATGAGACAAAATCAGTTTGCAAAAATGAACAGTATGGGTCAATATATAATGATAAGAAACCGGGTTCTGTAAGATGGCCAAATGAAACTTTAAAAACACAGGAGAGGGCCAGCCCCGTGGCTTAGCGGTTAAGTGCGCACGCTCCGCGGCTGGCGGCCCGGGTTCGGATCCCGGGCGCACACCAACGCACCGCTTCTCTGGCCATGCTGAGGCCGCGTCCCACATACAGCAACTAGAAGGATGTGCAACTATGACATACAACTATCTACTGGGGCTTTGGGGAAAAAATAAATAAATAAAATTATTAAAAAAAAAAATACAGGAGAGACAATAGGTTGCATTCTGTGAATGGCAAGGATTTAAAAAATTTTATCAATGTATAAAAGGAGAGCCAGCCAGAAGGCACAACCAGGCCTGTGACCCAACTGAGATTCAACTGGTTGAAACCTCAGCTGGTATAAATGACATGCTTTTTCTTTTGGTTTTATATCTTGGATGAAACGAAATCAAGTATCCATAATATTATTATACCCCACGGCTGCCACTAGTCCTTTTGACTCCTTTGTACAAATAAGAAAAGATATCCCTTCCTCCAGGTGGCCCCAGCCCCTGGGAAGACGGCTTTAAGAGACAGGTGAGAGCTGTATTTCAGCTCCCCTCACCCTTTCGGCCAGGCACCCTTGTGCAAAGCACAAGCTGCATAGGTCTGCTGTCCTGTTAGGAAGGTTTAAGAAATAAACATGTGGTAAAATTACTGCAACCCCAGAAAGGTATAAGTATAGGGATAATGAAGGCATTAATTTCAACCTATGGTAATACTACTTTAGAAGCAATTTAAGTGTCACCATAAATTTTGTCATTATTATGAAAATTTGTGCATATTTTGTTTGCTTTTAAATATAAACCTCATGTTTTTGTTTTTTTTTTTTTTGCTGAGGAAGATTCCCCCTGAGCTAACATCTGTTGCCAATCTTCCTCTCTTTGCTTGAGGAAGATTCGCCCTGAACTAACATCTGAGCCCATCTTCCTCTTTTTGGTGAGGAAGATTAGCCCTGAGCTAACATCTGTCCCCATCTTCCTCTATCTTGTATATGGGATGCCCCACAGCTTGATGAGCAGTGCGTAGGTCCATGCCCAGGATTCGAACCCAGGAACCCTGGGCTGCCAAAGCAGAGCATGGGAACCCAACCACTACGCAACTAAGCTGTCCCCCTCAGTTGTTTATTTTTTAAAAAAACCTCCTTAACAAAAACTAAAACCAAGAAATGCGCTGGAACAAAAGTCTTCAAGAACCCTGAGAGTCCTCCCAAGATTTACCCTTGGAATGGCTTGCTACTTCTATGATTGGCCCTTTGGGCCCACACAAGAGCATCTGACCTTTTCCTTTATATCATATAGCACAGATAAAACCAGGTTTGAGTATTAAAATTAGATTTTACTAAAGACTAAGGGTCTATAGGAATTATACACAAAGAAGAACATGAAATCCAATAACCTGGTGTATAAAACCCGGATAGCTCTCTTCTGGTGGTCCATTCCAGCTCCCAGTCTCATAGTGGTGGGCAGTATCTTAGCACCCATCACCCAGGTGGCCACAGCTGTCAGGCTACCTTTCTTAAAGTACAGAATCCAGGGTCTAACATGAGGCCTACTCTTCAGGCCTCAAAGGATAAACCACATACCACGCAATAACTCCAACATTCACCCAAGAGATATACAGACAGTAACAAGTGTCCTTGATCAAGGGCCCCACTGAACCCACTACCAATTAGCAGCCCCCCTGGGGGTAGCTCGTAAATTATTCTCCAGGACAGTGTGATACTATCCCCAGATAAATTCAAACCTGAGGCCTTGGGATATAGTGAAAAGAGCACTGGACTAGTCATTAGGAGTTCAAGTGATTTAGTTACTCATTGTATGACCCTCAGGCAAGTTTCTTTATCTTTAGAGGCTTTATTTACATGATATGTAAAACAGAACCTATCTCTATCTACTTTAAAGGATTACAGTAAGAATAAAATAACAGGTGAAAAAGTGCTTTGAAAAAACAGAAACTCTTACAAAAACAAAAGAACAAATTACCTCATTCCAGAGGTTCCATAATCTTTGCCTGCTCTTCACCACCAACTTTTGCCAGGCCATTCTCCTCATTGGATCCCAAACCCAACGTCAATTTGCTGACCTGAGGATTTAAATTAAAGGCTCTCTAACATCTTTTGCAGCTCTGGAAGTATATGATTCCCATTCATCCAATGAACACCAGCACTTACCATGTATTGTGTTTGAAACACAAAAATGAGTAAAATCCAGCAAAAATGATTAAATCTAGCAATCAATAATGATGGAATGTAGTATTAAAAGTTTATGTAACGTTATTGGGAAGCATTATTCTGGATATTCCCTCTGTCCAACATTGTTATCAATCATAAAACATTTATCAAGCACTACAGAGCTGAAAAATATTGGTTAGAGGCTGTGAGGATACAGAGAAGTGTAAGATTTTCGTGGTGTTTTAAAAACCTTCAGTCTAGTGTGGGAGGTAGTATTATGGATGATTTTAAAACTTTGGTCTTGCCACACCTGGACTGGAGTTCAAATTCTGCTATTAACTTACTGTATGATGTTTGACAAGTACTTTTTGCCTCTCTAAGCCTGTTTCCTTTCCCGTAAAAAGAGGATAATACATAGTACCTAGTCCTTAGGGTTGCTGCGAGGTTCAAATGAGATAATTTATGTAAAGAACAGTTCATGATACATAAGTGCTTGATAAACAGCCACCGTTCTTTTTGTGCCTGAGCGCAGTGTGGGGAGACGACGAGAGTGAGATTTCTATCAATACACAGCTAGCCAAAATACTCTACGTTGCAGAGCTGTTTCACTTTCTCCCTCTGAGACGCAAGCCGCCTCCTCTGCTTCGAAGCTCCTCAGTAGCAGGCACCGTTTTGCGATCCCAAAGTCTCATAGCTCTTCAAGTATGAAAAAGCAGTGACATTTCCAATGCCCACTCACGGATTTACGGAGAACTTTCTGTATATTAAGAGGCCAGTTTCAATCAGTCACTTACTCTCTTCTTACTCTGATTACCACGGCTGAGCAGCGTTGCTGGCCCGAGCCATACTTCATCAACCACAATTTAAATGTGGACTGCTTTTCTTCACCACTGCTAGGAATGAAATCCCTATAACGTACTTTGAAATCTTAAAAAATCCCAATGATAATAATGCTATTATGTTGGGCTTGAAATAAAACAGATACTTCCCCAAGGTCAGTGGCCGAGGAGGAACCAGTGGCCTTGATGCTTCCTGATTCTTTCTCCCTCCCGACCCCTATCCTCATTCCCAAATTCAGCCTAGATCTAGCAGTCTGACCACTACCTTCAAGGCGAAGTGCTGGGGCGACGAAAAAGAAGGGTGGGGGAGGTGACGCTGAAACGGAACTTCATTGTTCGCGGGACCGACTCTTGGCCAAAGACCCCGCCGGCAGCGCCTGCGCAGTGCGCGCTCTTTGTGCCGGGCTGCAGCAAGCTAGTTGTTTGTGTCTCTCTCTCTGAGGCGGTGGAGGCGGACCCGGCGGGGCGTGGCCTGCCCCGTCGCATTCTGATTGGGCTTTCGCAGGGAGGTGGGCGGGGACAGGGCGGAGCTTCTGATAACAACACTCGGAGCTGGGGCTGAGGCTATTTGTTGCTGCGCCGCCACCGCCCGAACCATGGTTTGCGCTCGTCTCGGGTTCTCTTAGCAGCAGCAGCCGCCGCCGCCCTGTGCTCTGGCTTCACTTCCTCCTCCTCTTCCTGCCGAGCCACTTTCCTCCTAGCGCTATGACCGTCGTCTCCGTCCCGCAGCGGGAGCCGCTTGTCCTGGGCGGTCGCCTTGCGCCCCTGGGCTTTTCCGCCCGCGGTTACTTCGGGGCCCTCCCGATGGTGACCACGGCTCCGCCGCCTGTATCTCGGATCCCGGACCCCCGGGCATTGCCCCCCACCCTTTTTCTCCCTCACTTCCTAGGGGGAGACGGTCCCTGTCTGACCCCTCAGCCTCGCGCCCCAGCACCGCTGCCCAACTGCAGCCTCGCCACGGCGGGGGGCGCCCCTCGGGCAGCGCCAAAGAAGCGGCGCAAGAAGAAGGTGCGGGCCAGCCCGGCGGGGCAGCTGCCCAGCCGCTTCCACCAGTACCAGCAGCATCGGCCGAGCCTGGAGGGCGGGCGGAGCCCCGCGACGGGCCAGAGCGGAGCGCAGGAGGTCCCGGACCAGGCCGCCGCCTCGACCCCGGGTCCGGAGACCGCAAACCCCACTGAGGAAGCGAGTGCTTTCCCCGGCCCGCTGCCGCCCGCGGCGCCCGGCCAACCCTCTTTCAGAAGAGAGGTAAGGGCCTCGAGGGGGACCTGGGACCGTTGGGGAGTTCCGGCCCTTAGACGGCCGCCGCCGGACGCTGGGGTTTGGGCCCCAGCCCGGAGCGGGTCGGGAAGGGAGGCCGGCGTGAGGGGCGGCTGTTTACTTGGGAGGGAAGTTTCCGTGACGCCCGCTCTGTTCTTGCTGGGGAAGGGAGGGGGAGGGGGAGGGGGAGGCATGCGCTGGCGCCGCTCATTGGCTCCTGGGAAGCAGCCAATGAGAGGAGCGGCTGCGCCCCAGCAACAGCCCGGATTTAGAAAGCTGGCGGAGTTCCAGGGGGTTTCGGCGTTCCAGGCGCGCGGTGGGGTGGGGGAGGGCAGGGGCCCGCGGGAGGCTGACGTCAGCGCGCTACGTGCGGAGTGCTCCGGCGTTCCTGAAGAAGGCGAGGCCGGGTGGGGGCGGGAGGGGAAGGGGTGGGGGCCCGCGCCCGGCTCCCTGACGGTTGGGCGCTGCGAGAGTGGTCGGTGACGCGCGTACGCGGTCCCTCACCGCCTTCGTGCGGGGCTTGGAGTGGGCCGCGGCGGCTCGGTTCCGTTTGGCTCGCGCTCCGCTGAGATGTGAGGTGCCCCGTGTGGGCGGGGTCCTCCTGGGGCTCTGCCCGTCGCCGGGCGCCCCGCTTAGCTGAACTTTTCACTTGCAGAGTTGGCGGGAGCGGCGGCGGCGTTCTGGGCTTTTTGGAGCCGTCAATTTTGTGTGCTAGTGCATCAGATGAACGGAATTTATTGTTTTAACAATTCCCACCGTATGCTCTCCCGGACTTTCTTAATGGAAGGTGGTTTTATTACTTGTGTCCAGAAAAGTGAAGTTTTCGGAAAGAAATGTTATCATTTGAAGTGACGTTGTGCTGCCCAGTTGCCGTGCTGTTGGACTAGGATAAAATCGACTAAAACTGAAACGAGATTAAATCGCTAAAATGATTTAAAATTAAAGTAACCTCTATATCAAAATAAAACATTTCATTGACTTAATTTCAAAGGCTTTCATAATAATGAAGTGAAAATAAGTTACTGCCATTTGTTGAAAGAATATTGGACTGAGATATTTGCAGCCTATTTAGCTGTGCCCCTGGGAAAAATGTTGTCCGCCGTGATTCCTTAAATTATCTTAGATTCCTTTTAAGTTTTATAATTCATGGCTCCTCTGAAATATTAATGATAAGCTAAAAGCGAGCTTTTTTACTTCTTGTCTCCTGGTCAATAAGTAAGTTCCTTTCTTTTCTAGAACGGTATTAAAACCAGGGAGCTCTCTGTTGGCAGTTACCCTTAATGACGTGGAAGGGTTCTTGTGCTGCGGCTTTCTGGTTTGGGTCCTGCTTTCCATACCATGTTGCAGGTGTTGGAAGGGCTGTGATCTGATGGGTTACCCTACACTTTCCATCCGGTCATGGCCTCCTATAAGGATCACTTGAGTTAGGAAAGTTATTAGAATTAGTGCAGCAAAGTTCTTGAAGTAGTTGTTAAACTAGAAAGCAGGGGGCAGGCAGGAAGCATTTTTTTCTGACTACGTATTTGTTATAAGTATGTATAACTGGAAAAGATGTTCAAGAGTGATAAGTATTTTAGTATTTAGATTTTTATTTTAGTTTATAAGTTTCTGAAGAGTTTTTAGAAGCTGCGAGATAATTTTTCTGTGTATACTTAGGAACCATGATCAAAACACTTCCTCACTGAAAATCGAGTTCCTGCTAATAAAACTTTTCTTTATTCTGAAATAATTTTAAAAGTACCTGTCTAAGAGGTAAATAGTATATCTGTTAACATAGTTTTTGTTTTTAACCAGACTCAACCAAGCAAAATGAAAGCATCTGAAAATTTCTCTTGGCAACATCTTATTGTAAAAACACTGACCTTTGTCAGTGTGTGGAGGTTGGCATAGGTATTTGGAAGATAGCTCATTACTCTTACAGGTATAGAAAGGTGGACTTGGGGTTACTTTGGGTTTTTTCCTTTCACATTTTAGAACTGGCTCATGCATTGCATATTGCAAACAGTGGTGATTATATTTTTAGTGGTAAACAAAATTAGATGTGTGCATATTCAGACATCCAGTGATAAGTGCAACAAGCACATACGTTTGTAATCAAGACAATGAACATTTTAAAAGAAAGTATATTAGATATGTGGTGTGAGGTTCATGACTGATTTTTATCATGAGACTGTATTCACTTTTATGTTCCTTGTCTTTGTAGGTTTTAAAATCAAAGATGGGAAAATCGGAGAAAATTGCCATTCCCCACGGCCAGCTTGTTCATGGTATACACTTGTGTGAACAACCAAAGATAAACAGACAGAAAAGCAAATATAACTTACCACTAACCAAGATCACCTCTGCAAAAAGAAATGAAAATAACTTTTGGCAGGATTCTGTTTCGTCTGATATAATGCAGAAGCAGGAAAAAAAGCCTTTTAAAAATACTGAGAACATTAAAAATATGCATTTGAAGAAATCAGCATTTCTAACTGAAGTGAGCCAAAAAGAAAATTATGCTGGGGCAAAGTTTAGTGATCCACCTTCTCCTAGTGTTCTTCCAAAGCCTCCTAGTCACTGGATGGGAAGCACTGTTGAAAATTCCAACCAAAATAGGGAGTTGATGGCAGTACATTTAAAAACTCTCCTAAAAGTTCAAACTTAGATCTCCGATTTCAGTATGTGTGTAAAACATAGTTTTCCAAAATCCCTGGACTCTGGAAAAGAAAATTGGTATAAAAATGGAAATTTGCCTTGTTGCAATATACAGGTGCAAAAGATGAGTTTAAAAAATTACAAACAGCTTGTATTATATTTTATATTTTGTAAATACTGTATACCATGTATTATGTGTATATTGTTCATACTTGAGAGGTACATTATAGTTTTGTTATGAAAGTATGTATTTTGCCCTGCCCAAATGGTGGGTGTTTTGTATATATACAATGGAGAAATTTTAAGTGTGTGCTAAGGCACACAGAAGACCAATTTATTTGCACAAGGTACTGAGATTTTTTTCAAGAGATTTTTTTCAAGAAACAGCTGTTGAATCTCAAGGTGAAGATCTAAATGTGAACAGTTTACTAATGCACTACTGAAGTTTAAATCTGTGGCACCACATTGTAAACATGGGTTTGTCTGCGTTTCTCTAAATTGATTTCTGCCTTCTAATCTGTAATTACTGGAAAACTCCTGTTCCCATTTTTACCAAACTTAATTTCTGGCTTTTGGTTTATATCCATTATTCAGATTTAAAATACCTCTAATTTTAATGCCAACAAAATTGGTTGTAATCAAATTTTTAAATAATAATAATTTGCCCCCCCCCCCTTTAAACTAGTCTTGACTCTTTGTGTGTGACTGTTTTTCATGTTTGAATGTGTGACAAGGAGATGGATTTTAACTTTCGATTTTACTGGCTGAATGTCTTTATACTAATCATCCATCCTTCCTCTGAAATTTAGAGGGTCCAATAATTTAACACTACTACCTCTAAGGGGAGGAATTCCCCATCTTACAAATGGAAATGGTTGTGGTCAAAAGTAAAGCTGATTAGTTTATAACTTAGAGTATATTTTTATATATGGACTGTTTCATAAAGTACCATTTGACTTAATCATACCATACGTTTTATAATGAAAGAAAATGTTTTACTAAATTTATATTGATGTTGAATGGTGGTACTTGAACCAAAGCAAACATAATTGGTGGTAAAATAGTAGATGATACTAGATTCTGAAGCTTGCTTGAAGATGAACATGGCAGCTTATGTATTTTTACTTTAAAATTCAAACTTTGTTCCTTTATTCAGTAGTGTATATATATATATATAAGGTCTATTCCAATAAGAAATTCTAAAACACAATTTTCCTTATATAGTTTTTAGTTACACAAAGCTAAAGTTTATCTCAACAAAAAGGAAGAAAGTTTTCTGAGTAGTTGAGCAATATTTAGATATGTGAAAAGGGTTTTAAGAGGGTATGTATATGATTCTATAAGATGGAATAGATGAGAAAGGTGCTACCATCCTGAGGAAAAAAAAAAATGGGAAAGTCGTCTTGTACCATCTGCTTCACACAGGAGGGGAGGAAGACACTTTCTGACTGTACAAAAGTGGTTGGTGGTTTGGGCACAACGTTACTTAGCATAACTGTTGACTTGATGAAGAGTGTCAGGAGGGTATGCTAACTTGCATTAGCCACAAAATCTGAGAATTACTAAAGATGTGCTGTCTTGTATACGCGGCTCATACGCGTCCACATCCAGCCAACCGTTTTCTTTGGCACTGGCTATAACACATGCTTTGTTCTTATGTATGTGGAGAAAGCTATACTTCGTTATTACATATAGGTATATATATAGCTGGCTTTAAAAAATGCATTTAGAGAAACTTAAACCATAATAAAATATAGGTGAGCTTTCAACCTTGTACAAGTTAGACTTTCTAAGAGAAGTGTTAACACACTGGTAAAGACAATGGTTAAATTTTTTAAAGGAATGACATAAGGAAATAGATTATATTATCAAGTAGTAATAGTTTTTATAGTTTAAAGAGTGAACAAAATTGGTTTAATTAGACTTACAGATATAGTTAGTGAAAAGGTATTAACAAATTTAAAAGTTGAATTGTTTTGGTGTTATAGTAAAATACTATTTAGCAACCTTTATTGGTCCCTTTGAGCTGCTATAACAAAATACTAGAGACTGGGCAGCTTATAAACATTTATTTCTCACAGTTCTGGAGGCTGGGAAGTCCAAGACTAAGGCGCCGGCAGATTTGGTGTCTGGTGAGAGACCACTTTGGTTCATAGGTGGTGTCTTTTTGCTGTGTCCTTAGAGGGCACAAGGGGCGAGGCAGCTTTCGTGGGCTCCTTTTGTAAGGGCACTAATCCCATTCCTGAGGGTTTTGCCCTCATGTCCCAATCACTTCCTCAAAGGCTCCGCCTCCTGATACCATCACTTTGGGGTTAGGCTTCAACATAGGAATTCAGACCATCGTGCAGCCCAATTATTATTCAGCCACCTTTATTTTTCTCTTTTTGGAGTCTTCTGAAACATTTTTCCCAATGTTTTTGTAATGATATTTGTTTGGTTTTGTGGGTGTACAAAGCAAACGTGTTTCCAGTCATCAGCTTCAGGCCCAAGTTTTAACTAAGGCGCTGGTAATTGCAAAGGGGTGAAAGGTTTATAAGTGTATGTGAGTGGAAAAAAAAAACACGCGGCAGCACTACATTATGGAACAAATATCAACGTGCGGTTAGTGTTTTATACTGAAGTTGCTTTTAGATAAATCTATACAATTGGATACCGAGTTTATTCAACTTATACCACTGATGGAGTGACGCTCAGAAAGAGCTGCTTTTATTTGCATTAATCTTGGTGCTAAGTATTTTATTAGTGTCTTCCTTGTGGGCAGATAAAGGGAAAAGAAGGTAATAGACCAAATTACACTATGAAAAGATTGACAGGAGCCATTATTTTCAAACATAAAGGTGGTTTGTAAGTTTAAATACAAATTTTAGTGTGGTTTATAAGTTAAAAGACTAGAATGTATTAGGCAAGTAATCTACATTTTAGCCAGCCCTGGTGGTCTAGTGGTTCAGGCTGCTTCACTTCCCTGTCAGGGAACCACACCACCCCTCTGTAGGTTGTCATACTGTGGCGGCTCTGTGTTGCTGTGATGCTGAAACCGGGATTTCAAATACCAGCAAGGTGGACAGGTTTCAGTGGAGCTTCCAGACTAAGACTAGGAAGAAGGACCTGGCCACCCACTTCGGAAAAACCTGGCCATGAAAACTCTATGAATAGCAGTGGAGCATTGTCTGATTGCGCCGGAAGGTGAGAGGATGGTGCAAATAGAGCAGGCAGGGTTCAGCTCTGCTGTCCACAGGTCCCTAGGAGTCGGAATCAACTATGTGGGCACTTAAGAAAATTACATTTTATCAGGACCAGCATTCAGGTTTTTAGGCATAGTACTATGTAGTCACTCCTTTCCTTCACAATATTTTAATATAAATTTAGTATGCTGTACAAATGTAGGACCGGAATGGGATCCAGTCATGCTATGTTTGGGGAAAACCACTTGTATTTCTTTTGCCTAGTACATGATTTCAAACTCCCTAAAACTCCCCACAGTACTTGCTATTGTGTTTACCTGCCGTCTTTAAAAGCCCTAACTCAACTTCTGGTGGTGAGAAGGAACAAGACCTAGGCCCCATCCCAGTGCTTCTGCCCTTCAGCACGAGGCCCCAGGCTGGACCTGGAAAAGAGGGCACAGCTGGCACCCACCCAAGACAGGATGAAGTGAGGATTGTGAGGAGCTGTGGCTGTGGTGGGTAGGCTAGACTCCTCGGATGCCCTGTCCCTCACCCCCAGCACGTTAAAGAAAAGCATTTAGATGTCTGGGAGAGGGTTTGGGTTGCCCTATTCCTGGTTCTTCCAGAAGCAGTGCTGGGGGGAGAACCACGATTATTAAATGGTTTGAAATTACAAAAAAAGGGGGGCTGGTTTTGAGATTAAGGAGGCTTTGAAAAAGTTGTACAAGGACATAAATTTTGAGTGGGGACATTAAGCAATCAGTTCTAGAAAGGAAGGTAAGGAATTTGAAGAAGTAAAGGAACTTCTATTTGATGTTGGTGGCATTTTGTGTGAGTCTCTGTTCCAGCTCACACAGATGCAAATACCTTCTTCACAGATAGCTGAGAAAACACATTTTAGAAGTTAAGATCATAGTTTGAAAATTCCCCCAATTTTTAGTCACCAATTTTAGCTTTTTCTAATAGTATGTTGTAAATATTAATACTAATGAGTTAGCTTAGATGAGTTCTGACATCTTTCCCAAATCTGACAGTCTATGATTCCAAAAAATGTCTCATTCATGCATAGGTTTGATAACACATTTCTGCATATGATTATAAAAATTCTAACAATGAAACTAATATAGAGTTCCTGTCTTTTGGATAATAAAATTGTCTCAACCACTTGCACCCCCACCTTGTTGGACATTTTTCAGTTGTGTCATTTTTGAGCAGCATGTCTACATTTAATGCTTGGGGGCTTATGTGTAAGGTATGTTCAGGAAATACAGAGATAAAGGGCAGAGCTAAAAGTTAACAGTACAGGTGAGTGGAGAAGAAATGGTAAATGTGAACTACAAGCTGCATTCCCCCTCCCCAGAACCACCAGTGCCTGAAAAGTTACAAAAAACTAAAGTCATTGTCTCACCCAGAAGGTAGTGACTAATTTTGGTGAGCAGGGATTGTCTGGTTGGGAATCTGACAACTTAGAAGTAGCACTGAGTTGGGCCTTAAAATATTCAGTAGTATCTGACATACAAAGAAAAGGAAAATTGTCTGAGGTAAAAGTCTGAGCAGACAGTAGTGTGGAAAGATGTGGAATGTCCAGTAGCTCAAGAGAAGTAAGTGCAAGGAAGATTCGGTGTATTGAAAGATGTATTGGGGTAATAACATGAAGGGCCTTGCATGTCATGCTGAAGAGTTTCAACTTTATTCTGTAAGCATGACAGAACCATCAAAGGTTTATGAGCAAGAGAATGAGACTCCTGCTTCAAAAAGAAAACTGGTAAAAATAAGAACAGTATGGAAAGGGAAAGCTTGAGACAAGATCACTTAAGGAGGTTATTTTGGTAGTTTAAAACACAAAAGAGCCTAAAGAACATTATCAGAAGGAATACAGAGGCATGGACTTACTTGGGAGATGTTTTGGGGTAGAATTAAGAATTGAGCAACTGAAGGTAAGGGAAGAGTTTTTAAATCGGGCAATTAGGAAGATAAAACGAGCAATTAGGGAACTCTGAAGGGGAATCGGAATTACACAGCAAGATAGTTTTGATTTGCATGTTGAACTGGTGAGGTGCGTGTAGGGTATCCAAGTGGGAATACACAGCAAGTAGACAGAAGATAGGTCAGGCCTAGAGGTGCAGCTTTGGTAATTGTGCACGGAAGCACTAATTTACAAAATGAAAATGGAACTGAAATATTTTATCTTCCTATATCCTCTCCTTTTTTCCTCATAAGGCTTAACACCCTTACCAGTACTTTTGACCTCATCCCTTCTGCCTCCTATGTACTCTTAACTTCATCTATGATAGTAAATTAGTTGTTGAATTAGAACGTATTTCCTCTCAGTGTTAGATGGTGGGTGGTTCTTTACCTACCTGTAAAAGTCTATGTTAGCGGATAGTTCAAATTTAAGTTCTGAATGCTGATAGCAGAGGCCCAGTTGGTGAAAAGGAGGAATAAAGTTTTCTTCTCTTTTCTTAGTCCAAGATTTGAAACGGGGTAAAATTGAGCTTTTATAATTCTATTTCTCTTTTTATA